GTGGTTGGGAGGGTGGGTGGTTGTGGGGTGGCTGGTTGGGAGGGTGTACGGTTGGGAGGGTGGGTGGTTGGGGGGTGGGCAGTTAGGGGGCATTCACAGATTCTTGCTCCCCATTCTTGTTTCTTTGGAGGGGTAGGCCATGTCTCTTGAGAGTCCAGATGCTTTGCAGAAGTCTGAGATTCTCATTCTCCTGCTGAGCCTTCACAGGCTGCATTGGCCAATCTCCATTTTCCAGAACAAACAAAACAAACAACAGAAAATCCTGCAGTTAAGACTCATGTTCCAGACTCCTTAATGCTCCTTCTCCAACTGGCTGCCCTTGCCCACCCCAGCTGTTCCAAAGGACACATCCAAGGCTCAGAGTGCTCACCAACAGGCTGCAGACATCCAGAAATGACAGGGGAAGAGTGTGTTCCTCCATCTAGGCATTTGGGGTTTTCAGACTTAAAAGCATTTACAATGACCAGGATTGACATTCCAAACCCAGATCGAGACAGAGAAGGTGACTCTCCCTCAGCAGGGCCTAAGGCTGCTGCCTATCAGTCAGCCTTGCTGCAAACAGTCACAAAGCTTCAAGCTGAATTCAACAGGAAACACTGATCCAGTGCGTAAGTCTGTGAGGCTGAGGGCTCACAGCTCGGCAGGGCTCCGGTGCATCTGCCAAGGTTGGTTAGGGGACTGTGGACTGGGCTGCACTGGCTTGGGAGACTAGGAGTCAGCTGATAGCTACAATGGGTGCCTCCAGCTAGGACCACCCAGAGACCCAGCACAGACCCAGCTGCCTCCCTGCAGCAGACCAGCCCCAGCACTTTCCTGAGCCATGGCCAAGGGCCCAAGTTGAGCTCAGCGGTCACCGCTTGCCTTGTCCACCACTGAGCTCAACATGGGACCTCGGCCATGGCTCAGGAAACTGCCGGGGCTGATTGCAAAGAATCAACTTACACACTGTGATCCCCACAGATCTGACAGTGACAGTGTCTGGGGAGCCCCCTCATCCCAGGAGATGTGGGCCAGACTGGTGGGTCAGAGCAGCTGCCCTCACAGTCGTGCTGATTGGTCCAGGGGCAGGGGCCTGGCACGTGTGGCCAGGCAGAGCCAGTCACAGCCCTGCTCCAGGATTGGTGTGGGTCCCCGGGACCGTGGGGCTTCCTTGTTTGTGCTTACTGGTTATGAATCTTAGAGACTGGAGCTGCCAGCTTTTTCATCAAAGAAACATTCCCCAGAGAAGAAGGCAGGACAGAAGAAAGCAAACGCCATCGTCCAGGGAAGACGCTTCCAGCTGGAGCTGTGTCTTCCAGCACAGGAAACTTTGAACTGTTTTGCACTGGGTGTGTTTCTGTCACTTGCACCTTGGCAGCCTTGTTTAATACGCACTCCCTGGAAACTTTTGGAGCAGGACTCTGCTACTGTATTAGTCTGTTCTCATGCTGCTACTAAAGACATACTGGAGACTGGGTGATGTATAAAAAGGTTTAATGGACTCACAGTTCCACAAGGCTGGGGAGGCCTCACAATCATGGTGGAAGGTGAAGGAGGAGCAAAGCCATGTCTTACATGGCAGCAGGCAAGAGAGGGTGTGCAGGGGAACTGCCTTTATAAAACCGTCAGATCTCATGAGACTTATTCACTATCATGAGAACAGCACGGGAAAGACCCACCCCGATGATTCAATCACCTCCCAGCAGGTTCCTCCCAGGACACGTGGGGATTGTAGGAGCTATAGTTCAAGTTGAGATTTGGGTGGGGACACAGCCAGACCATATCACCAACCCTTCCCTGTTTGTTGCTGCCTGTGTGGTTGTTACTGTTGTTTTCACATTCTCTTCTCTAACTCTTTCTTCCAAATTCAGCTCATCTTCCCAAGTACGGCCCAGCCCCTATCCTCCTGCCTCAGGCAGTCAGATCTCATCACCCCTGCAACCCTCACTTGAAGGACACAGGTGGGCTCTGTTGCCTTCTGACCAAATCGCCCCTCACCAGGGAGGCTGACAGAGTGAGGCCTCTTGCTGTGAACCTCGGTGCTTTTGACACAGAGCATAGTATATAAGCAACAGGTATACACTTGTGATGAGGCGTAGATACCGTTTTCCATCCTTTTAGAGACAATCAACTAAGATCACATCTTCCTGCAGGGTGGCAGCTGCCATCCCATCCCATCCAAAACCTTTATGAACACAGAGTCTGTGGTCAGACTTCCCTTGCGTCCCAAGTCCCCTCCTCCATCACGCAGAGCCGGCCATGTCACACCTCCTTCATCTCATGGTCCTCAAGCATCTTCCACACACCATGGCCACACTATGTGCTGCACACATCACTGGACTCTGACATGACTCTTTTCAAAGTCTTTAATATGCAGCTCTATCTTTGAAGCCATGTAGGTGAAGAGCTAAATTTCTTTGCTTTCTGGCCCACTTCATCGGAGTGGAGAATGGGTTTATCTCTATCACACTCAAAATTCCTAGGCCTTTCCACTCACAGAATGACGTCCTCCAAGGGTGTCCTGGGTCCCAGCTCCCACAATGCTCCTCCCTGTCCTCTTTCAGAGCATCCCGTGAAGTTAAGGGACTTAGCCTGCTGCTGTGCAGGTGTTGTTCACCTTCTGCAACCCCAGATGAAAGTTATGCTCACAAGGGTCTTATTTCATGTCCATAAAACATGTCACAAGCCACTCAAGTGTTCCCGGCTTGCAGGAAAGTCCAGCCTGGAATTCTGTGTGCTGGGAATCGGACCTGGCCTCGCTGGAAAAGCTGGGCTCCTCTCAGAGGCCAGATGGTCTGGAATGGTTCCCAACACAGGCCTGGTGTCAGGCGTGCGGGGGTGCCGGCTGTGCATTAGCCCGAATGCCCCAACTGTCTTCCAAGTGCCTCTCAAGCTCCCACAGGTCAACTCAGGTTGGCTGTCATGGTCCAGGGGTTCCAACAGCAGCAAGAAAGCCCAGCTACAATGTCCAGCACTCTCCAAGTCTACTCCACCACTGTCCCATCGGCTGAAGCAAGTCACAAGGCAGAGCCCAGCCTCACCGTGGGAGGGCACTGCCTGGGGTATCTGTGAGAAAGTAGGGTGCTAACAGGCATTTTAGCAAATAACCACAGGACCTGTTTGCTAGGGCTGTCATGAGGACTGGAAAAGAGCTCTGCATGCATGCACAGGCACACACATGTGCACACACACACATACATGCACACACATGCATACTCACATGCACCACAGAGTGCTGTTGTGTAGGTGCACCACATGCAGGCACATATGTGTGCACACACATGCATACATGCACAGGCACACAGGCACACACATGTGCACACACATGCACACACATGCATATGCACATGCACCACACTCAGTACACACTTATGCACACACATGCACACAGGCACAAGCATACACGTGCACAGATGCACATGCATGCACACACATGTATACACATATACATACTTGCATATGCACACACACATGCATGCACACACACAAGCACACACGTGCACACATGCACACACATGCATACTCACCTGCACACACGTGTGCACACATGGGCACATATGCACACACACATGCATGCACAGGCACATGCGTGCACACACGTGCACATGCACACACACACACGCATATGCACAGAGCTAAACCAGAGCTCCAGTGCCCAATGATTACTACCGTTATTTTTTTGTACTCACTCATGTTGTGGTAGGCAGGCACCTACCACGATGCCTGCATGTGGGATTGTTCACTGTGTGTTTAGTTGGTGAATTTCTGTGGCTTCACGGCACCTCCTGGGCTTCCTGACGGTCCAGGATCTTCTTGGCAAACCACTGGGATGACTCAAAGAGCCCAAAGAGCTTCTCTTGCATTGCCCACAGCTTAGAATTGTGTTTTGCAGTTTTGTAACATTTTTGCTATTTGTAAGACCATGCTCTGGAACATGGAAATGGCTTCGTGTCCCAGCACTCCAGGACCAGAGTTCTCATGTGCTCATCTCCACCAGCACCTGCGCAGGAGATCCAGGACAGCTCTGAAGCACCATGGAGAGGACACCGGGAGGCCTTGCTAACTCTCAGGCAGGGGCAGCTGCCGAGGCGCGTCGGCACAGAACAGCCGTGCGGCACCTAAGTCCTTTGGTAGAACACATGCTCCTGAAAGGCAGCTCAGGCTCATTCTCATCTGGGAGAAAACTGAGGCTCAGAGACATTGAGGGATGTCTAATAATCACAGAGCAACTGAGAGGCAGACACAGACCCTAGGCCTCCCGGGCGACCCTAGGCTCCTTCCCCCACTCACCATCCACCTCCAGCTAGCAGTAAAAAAAGGGCTGCCTGACTGGGGCCTTCTGGGGATAGGAGATAGATGTGCCCACGTCCCATGAGTTAGCCATGTACCAGGAGCCCCCTGAAGGAGTCAGGGACGAAGCCTGTGAGAGCCCACTGGGCCACCAGGTGCACTCTGGTGATGACACCTCCCCAAGCCCCATACCCCTCTCCTTAGCACCCGCCTTGCTTCATGGATGAGCGAGGGTGCCCTGCCCTCAAGAGCCACACCCTACAGGAGGACAGTCAGCACCCCCAGGAGGCAGGAGAGCTGCAGAGAACATAAAGCACAAATGGGGACAGGAAGCCCTTAAGACCGGAAGAGCTACCCAGGCCCAGGTCTCTCTGCAGAGGCACAGAGCATTAGAGGTGGCACCTCCAGGGAGGGCCCACTTGGCTTTGCCATGGCAGCTGGAGTGGGAGAGCCCGGACAGGAGGCCGCGGAGGTGTGGCTGGTAAGCAGAGTCCCCAAGGCCACCGTGGGGTGGGAAACCTGCAGGGTGAGCTCGATCTCTCTGGCCGGCTGCTGCTCTGGAAATTCAAAGCTGCAGTCATGGTGAGGAGGCTCCTGCAAGGACCAGGTGGGAAATGATGGAAGCCATGGGCTAGAGGCAGAGGCTGCGTCCCGACACAGTGCTCTGGGTGTAGAGCTCTTGGGTCTGCCGGCACACAGCGCCCTCGACGGGGGCTGATTCTCTCCTATGGGGGTGAGTCCCTGCTTGGGGACTGACTTTCTCCTATGAGGCTGTGTGGCACACGGCTCCCCAAATCCCTGGGATCCCCAGAATGCTGGCCTTTTTGTGCTAATATTGACTGACAGCTTCGGGATGGAGCGGTTCACTGGGAAGACAAGCATGACCTGCTGCTTGGATGGTTTTTTCCACTTAATTCCAATTCTTCGGACACAGCTCCTAGAACCCAAGCACAAGCCTCTCCTTTGTTTGGCGTTACCTGAAATGGAGTGACATAACATGAATTCCATCAGGGCAGACTTCCTGGCCCAGCGTGAGTCTGGAACCCCCAATGTACAAGGTCACACCTTTGTCTTTTGAATGTTGTGACCACCATCCTCCATCCAGCCCAATTCACCCTCCCACCTGTGCTGTGCCCATCCTGACATCTGTTTTCAATTCAGGGACTAGGCAGCTATTCCCCTACTTGTCACCCATCATAGACAGAGCCCTGGCAGTGGGGACAGTGCTGCTGGGTTCTTCACCAGGAGGAGTCACCAGGAGACTGAAGTGTGAAGCACCCATGCACCGGGTGGGCAGCACCCCAGCTCCACAGGAGCTTCTCAGGTAACATTGCATAGCTAGCATGAGCAAAAGAAGCCATGTAAATGAGATGCAGGTCTTTCAGGAGTCGTTTTGGAGTCTCTGCCCGTACCTGGTGTTTCCCCTCTAAGCCTCACCTACCTTGCAGCCCTGGGGGCAGTGAGGACCCTGGAGCTGCAGCCCCTCCCCAGTTCTGCTGAACGTGGGTAGGGTTTGGCCATGATTCTCAGCTGCTCGGCTACTGGAATACCTTTGTGTAAAAGAAGATACAACCACATGACCTCCAGGACTGACCCCAGGGAGCCCTCTGCACTTGCCAGCCCCTGTTCCTTCACGGGGGTTTGCAGGCTTGGGGCAAATAGGGCTTGCACACACTGTCAGGAAGGATCCAAGTGGTTGCTGAATAAGGGCTGAGCTCGAGTAGATTATTAAGCAGCAAGACAGATTTTCATGTGTATCTGGCTCCGATTTGTATTTTTAGCACAAAACATGCACACATACACACACATGTGTTTTCAGGGAAGGGCTCTATTTCCCAAAAGTCACCCTTAGGATGACGTGTCTCCACTTCTCCACCTGAGCCTGGCACAATGGCCTGGGCCTGCAGGTGTAAGTGCATGTCAGAGTCAACTGTGAACTCACAAACCCCACGGCTGCACCAACTTCATTCACACCAGGCATCCCAAGGCTGGGGCTCTGGGAGCAGAATGGGAGCATCCAACTGCATGGGTCTCTGCAGAGTGTCCCAAGGCTGTGCCAGGGACCCATCCTGTGCTCAGCAAAGACTCCACATGCCTCCTGGCCTGCACAGTTCCGGCCTCAGCTCTTTTCTTCTTCAAGGAAATCACTGTAAACATGTTGTGCAGTGTAGAGATTCAGGAGCCAATGAGACTTTGGACAGATGACTGGGCCAGGAGGTGGGAAGAGGGACACATTTCAGAGTGACTTTAGAGTCCCAGAGATGGCTCTGCCTGCCCTTCCCCTGAAGGAGTGGTGTGTGGGCAGCCAGCACTCAGCTGAGGCTCAGCAGTGAGACCAAGGCCCTGGGGGCCAGTGTGGGTAAGGGCACCCTGGAGATGCCAGCACCTCTCAGATACACCATGCACTACAACACAGCCTGGGGTAAAGTCAGCATGTTGGCTATTTAACCAGGTAAAGTGGCATAAAATCAGCAAACCTTTCCAAGAAGCTTTCAGGAAATGTGAAAACATTCACCTTCTGGAACTAGGATTGCAATGAGAACTGGGGTCCTTCAAATAAATATAAATATTCCCTGTGAGAAGAGAGATATAAGGTCTGGGGCTAAGAGGAGATAGATAGATAGATAGATGATAGATGCAGATATAAAGATAGGACAGATAGATAATAGATACATAAGTAAGTGGCATAATAGATGACAGATAATAGGATATATAATAAATAGATAATAGATGTATAAATAGATGATAGATACATAGAATGTACATAGTAGATGGTAGGAGATAGATATAGATCGATGATAGATAGGATGGGTGGGTGAATGGGTGTGTGGATGGATGGATAGATGGGCAGGTAGATGAGTGGGTGGGTGGATGGATGGTTAGGTAGATGGATGGGTGGATGGGTAGATGGGCGGGTAGATGAGTGGGTGGGTAAGGAGATGGATGGGTGGATGGGTGGGTGGATGAGTGGATAGATGGATGGATGGATGGATAGATGGCTAGATGTATGGATAGATGGCGGCTGGGTGGGTGAATGAGTAGGTGGGTAGATAGATGGGTGAATGGGTGGGTGGATGAGTGGCTGGGTGAATGGATGGATGGTTGGATGGATGAGTGGATGAGTGGATGGGTGGGTGAGTGGATGGATGGATGGATGGGTAGATGGATGGATGGATGAGTGGATGGGTGGGTGGATTAGTGGGTGGATGGATAGAAGGATGAATGGATGGATGGATGGATGGATGGATGGATGGATGAATGGATGGGTGGGCGGGTGGGTGGGTGGAAATAAAAGAGGAGCCTTGCACAAGTCACTGGTGTCACTGTGTTATGAACTAACTCTTACAACTAATTCAAGGTTTATACCTGAGGTCCAGAATCAACAACATCAAAATTATGAATTCCTGCCAGAAATGAGAAACTTGCTATAATGTGGGTTTCCACAAAGCTACTTAAGCAAAGGTTGGGGGAAAGCTGGGGAGTCTGATGCACTGGAATCCTGGTCTGGCTTTGCTTTCATGAGCCATGTGCCCCCATCACGGTTCCTAGTGGTAAGAGCCCGGCTCTCGCCGTGCAGAGCAGCATTGCCAGCCCTCCCAGCAGCCAACGCCACCCTCCCCTCACTACAACAGGGGTCACAAGCACCGCAGGCCATAGAAATTCCAGCCTAATCCCTGAGTTCCCTTCAAGCATCCTGGAGTTCCTCCATATCTGGAGATCCTGTCTCAGGGCTCCTCTGTCTTGGGGTTTCCTCATGTGTCACACCTCCAAGAGGTAGCCCCGCAATCCTGGGTCTGCTGCAGGGTGTATTTCCCCGACGATCTTAGTGATGCTGATACTCCGTGGTGTCTCTCACCCCTGTTGGGTAATGACTGGTGGACCCTGACAGTCATTCAGAGGCATCCCAGCTTCCACAGCAAGGCATCGCCGGGTCTCCCTTCTGACTTCCTAACCCATGTAGAGAGGGGTAAGGGTCTCCACACTCATTTCCCCCTTTCCTACTGAACGACCCCAGCACTTTGCAGGCAGCCTTAAGCACAGATGCCTTTAACCTGAGTATCTGCAGCTGGTGTGGCCTCTGTGATGCAGCTACATCCAGGGGGAGAAGGGAGGGGTAAAAGGGACTTCTGAAAACTTCTGACTTTCCCGATTTGGGTGCTTTTTTCTTTGTTCTCTTTCTCCTCCTCCTCCTTCTTTTCTTTTATTTTTCTACTGCTCATTCTTCTTCTTCTTCCTCTTCTGGAGAAAGTGGACGTGAGGCAGGAAGTGGAGCAGCCATTTTGTGGCCATGAGGCATTTGTGAGGAAGAGAAAATTGAAAAATAGGACTCAGAGTGCGAAGCCACCACAGAGGTGCTGCTCTAGCCCCAGCTGCCAGCACCTGGTGATTACACCTGACAGCCGGGCCACTGCAGTGAGGTTCCTGCTGTGTTCACCCACACAGTCCCTGGAACGGAAAGGGAACCCTTTCCATCTTGGCAGAACAAACGCCTACATGAAAATAACTTGTCCCTGCGTTTCAGAAAACTCAGTAAGCATTAGACTTAGTACTTATCAGGTGACCAGAACAGAACGAATTTTGAGAAGGGCTTCCACTTTGCTGGAAGTGCTTTAGGGCACGAGGCACCAGCAGCTCCGCAGCAGCGTGAAGATGACTGAGGGGCTAAAACTAGGAGACGAGGTGTCGGGAGAAAGCCACTAGGATTTATCCAGAAAGCTCCTTGGAGAAGTACTATCTGTGATGAAAATTGCTTTTACTGGAAAAGGCCGGCAAAATTAGGATGTAACAAGTCCTATTAAGAGAGGGCACGCCTGTTTGCTTACTCTATGGGTGCAGTCAACTCAATTTATCCAAAATTCCAGCAAACAGAAAGAACTAATAAAGATTATTTTCATCTACAGCTGTAGACCTATGCAATGCTAATTGATGTTTATTAAGACATCTTTGGGGAAACAGAAAAACCCCAAAGGACCTTATTATCCAAAGAGTCAATTACTTCCAAATTGTTTGGATGTTAAGAGTAAGTTAGTCCATTGTCAATTCACATTCAGGCTGGTATTTGTAGAATAAATGAAGATGCTGCATGTTCTGTTCAGTCTGTTAATTACGTTCCCCGCAAACTTATCCCTACAGAAAATCTGTGACTAGATAGTAATTTGCTTAGATTCAGTCTGCATATTAAATGATCATCTGCTTTTTCCTCCTTTGTTTTTGCTTTATTTCTCTTTTGTTTTCCTTATTTATATTCAGTTACTTCTTCCAACATCCTAAAAAGCAAATGGCTTCTGTAATTAATTTCTAATAGGAGTTCCTATGGATGCAGAGACCATGTAGGAAGTCGACCTTTTTAGCCCAGTTCTGCAGAATGTCCTTGCAAGCTCAACTCTGTCATTATTCAGCAGGCATTCATGTCAGAGGCAAATTCATTTCTGGCAAAATGGGAGAAAGATTATTTTGGATTCATGAAAAATAAAAGGACTTTGCTCAAAATTGCTAATCTATCATAGATTTGCTACTGTGAGTTTTTCAAAATCAGGCTATAACCTAAGTGCTATGGGCTGATTATCTAGCATTTGACTGGCACAACCCAAGTC